TGGTTTTATAATGGGAACTTCAGGCATAAAATAATAATATTAAAAATATTTAGAAAATAAATTAATATTATTTATTGTATGAAAGCATTGCTATGATATGAATGGTGTCTATCGTAGTAGAACAGGCTCTTTCATCAACTTCAGTCAATAAGTATTGAAGATAATTAGTTTTGTGTCTTGCTCGCGTATGCAATGAAAACCCCAAGTGCTGTGCCCCACCAATATTCTATTATGCATGAAAATAATAAGATTAAATAATATTTTATCTTATTATTTATATGACTATTATCCATTGCAGTTGTGGTAAAACTTATGATGACAAATATTTATTTAAACATCTAAATTCAAAATATCATCAGAAATTTGTAGAATATAGATGGAATAAAGACGATACAATGAAAAAACTTTACAGGAAAAGAAAGACAGAAATGAAAAATAATTTATCTTATTATTTAATATGAAAAGGAGTTATACAGATTATATTAATATAATAGATGAAATGGAGAATATAGAACAAGTACTAATAACCGATAATAAAATTAAGAAATGTTGTTATTATTCATTAGAATTAATTAAGCTAGGAATACAATATATCAAAAATAAAAATGTAAATATTAATATAAATGTCAAAAAAGAAAAACAAAAATAATAAGACAGGTTTAAGTGTTTCATCAACTGATGAAGAAATTGTTAAAGAAACATCAGTTATTGAGGTTGTTTGTCCTACATGCAAAAGAATGTTAGAACTTAAGAATGAATTACAAATACAAAAGAAAGGAAATTGTAAATGTTCGTGTATCCCAACAAGTTTCAAATTGAGTAAAAACGACAAAAGGATGAATATTGATAAAACTAAAGACAGTATCAACTTAGAAACAGATGTCCATAATATAACTTTTAAATGGGGTAGGCATGCATCACCATCCGATAATGGTGATAACGAAACGCAGGAAACTATACGTGAAATGATGAAAAATTAGTATTTAAAGAGTAGAATTAACATAATTTAAACATTTAGTTTTATAATATAGTATATATGGAAGGTGTGGATAAACTATTTTTGAAAATTGATGAAATAATGGAACAAAATAAACGCATTTATCAACTGTTAGAAAGTATGAAGAAACCATCTTACAATAATACTAATAATTACCAACCAAAAGAAGTTGATAGAGAGAGCACTGAATACAAGAATAAACGAAATGTATATATTAAAAAACTTAATGAAAAAGTTATTAAAGAACCTAAACAATCAAGTCTGGATTTCTACCAAGTCAAGTATATTGAAGATACCAAGAAATATGTTTAATCATTAACTAACAAAATTTCGTGTCTCAGAAGTGGTTTGTTTATTCCTGCTACTCTGTAAGTTTTATTACCCATAATATCATATTCAATTTTATCAACATTGAATATTTTATTAGACCATTTAGAGTTATACTCTTTTCTGTCGGTGTAATTGCCCCTTTTCTTCTGAAACACTTTTACCTTATCGTTCTCCTGTATTTTGGGATATTTTCTTTTGTTCTTTTCTCGTAGTTTCAGATTGACCTTTACATTTATTTCATTGTCGTCCTTGTGTGCTTCGGTTGGTGTCATCCTTGTTGACGAGTGTAATGTGCTGTTATACTGTTTCAATGCTGGTGTTAAGGCATCGGTCCATTTCATATTGTTAAACCTAGCTCTATCATGAATTTTGTTTTTCATCGTCCTAATAAAACGTTCGGCTACATTTGCGTGTGTCTTCGTTATTATGTGTTTGATGCCCTCGCTGTTGAAGAAATCCTGAACTTGATTTTTAGTAGCGAACGCTCCATCATCATCAGAATACACAGACATCGGATAACCCATCTTTTAAAGCTTGTTCTCAACGCCTTCAAAACGTGCTCTCCGTCTCTTTCCTCCATCGGAATTGCATCTGCTAATTTACTGAAGATGTCAATCACGACTAAAGCATACTGTGGAACGTTCTTGTCTTTAGCTAAAGGTGCCATATGCATTATGTCTATTTGATATTCATATCGTGCGAAGGGAGCGGTATAGGAATTAGTGCCTCTATAATTTTTGATTTGTTTATTTGGTTGTTTCTTTAAGAAAGACTTTACATCTTCTAATGTTATCGTTGGGTCTTCTTCCTTTGCCTTCTTGTGTGTTGCTTGTGTGCTTCCGAAACCCTCGTCTAAGTCATAATAGATGTTGCTGATTATTTGGTCTTTCGTTAATCTCGCCATTATATTATTTGTTAGAAAATATTTTTTTATCTATATAACCCCCACCCCTTAACATTAAAAAAAAAAACTACTTAAAGAGAAAAAACCTTATATATTAAGAGAAAAATGAGTGAGGGTAAAATGTCAGAGAATAATTTTATATTTGAGAATTGCGCTAGCTTACCTGCTGATGTATTAAAAGGTATCATTTCATATAAGTTAGGGAGACCTGAGTATTTGAAACTAAAACATAATCATATTAAGACATTAAAGAGAATACAACAACGATATAAAATAGACAGAACAGAAACAAAAAGAAAGACAAAGCGCTATACTGTTGAAGATGGCGATGATATAAAGAGACACGTAATTGAGTATTACATTTCAAGAAATATACCCTTAAGCATTAAAAGCATTGAAGATATAGTTTTTAATGAAAATGAAAACTTAGATTGTTTGTTAGATGGCATTGAAACCGATACCGGTTATGAAGCAGTGATAATAGTTGAGGTAAATATGTTTGTAAGGTTTCATCATTTCAATTATTATGAAGACGACCATTTTAACACTTTTAGTTTTCATTTTCGTAGTGATGATTTTGTAGATAATATAACCATAGATAATATATCCGAAGTAATGATAGAGGCACATCAAACAATATACAGATGTATTGATGATGAAAGAAGTAGAATGAATTTTGGAGGAGTACAAAACATAAGGTTTAAACTAATTGTTGATGAACCTGTGTAATTCATAACTAAACCATAATTATAACATTTATATTATTATATGTTATAATTATAGTGAACTTTTAATCTATACACATTTCATTCAATGACAAACCACAACAACCGCCCAAAAGCCAACCCATGAAACAGCAGAAAGTCCTATCCTCTTTCAATCAATAAAACTAAAAGTTGAAATCTGGAACGAGACAGGGGACCAAATCATCAATTCGTTACCACATCCATATCGTTATTTCATGCCCCCAAAATCAGCCTTGAAAAAACGAATAAGGTGGTACACGTGTTGAAATGTGAAATAAAAAACAGAACAGGCAACCATCTACCCCCCACCCCCGAGAATCTGCCTTTTCTACATTTTTTTTTTTGGGGGGGGGGGGGGGGTGGGGGAAAAAATAGTTAAAATAAAGGGTCTGGGGTAGGGTATTTTCAAGTTAGGGCTTCAGGGTTCAGGGTTGTTTTTCAACAAGCAAACAACATTGTTCAAATGGATTTTTCTAAAATGTCTGAACATTCTTTTTACATTTTTCAGTTAAGAACAGTCTAACATTTTGACATGTTCAAGGTTCAGGTTTCAGACCATTTTTAAGCTTTCTGGGGTTTCCCGTCGGCTCCGCCGTGCTTCGTCTTCCTACATTCTGTTTGGCGTGGAGGCTCAGAACATTGTGTCTTCAGAGTGGTTGAAGTTGAGCGGAGAGATGACATCAGTTGAAAATTGAATGTGCTTATGTTATATCTGTCCATTTTCCTCTCAAACGGTTGCTACTAGAGCAACCAGCCAATTGAGTGATTTGCAGTTAGACCTGCCTGTGCTCTCATAATGTCAGACAAAAACCTTGCTGACAAGATGACAGAGGACGAAGAAGTTCAGATGATAGAAGAGGAGTCAGAGAGTGAGACCAATTCAAGCAACGAGACAGTTGCTATGCTTGAAGAGGAGTTCAATGCGCTTCTTGACCTTGAGGTTGATACCGAGACCATTGCTGATGCTCTTGACAATTTGTCTTCGAGCAGTTCTCTCGTCTTCACGAAGACTGGAAGGACAAGACCGATGAGGCAATGGCTCACGCAAAGGAGGTGGCCTCCAAGTTTGCTGTGGTGGATGGCAAGAAGAAGGAGATGGACAAGGAAGAGAAGAAGCAACAAAAAGAGGAGGAGAAGATTGCCCAGCGTATGGCGTCATCCAAGGCAAAGACTGTTGCTTCCGTGGCACACTGTATGATGCGCAGGTCTTCCCTTGGCTCAGGCTTCGTCAGCTTCGTGAGAGGCTTCGCTTGGTCTACCGCTGGTTTTCACAACCAACGCAATGCTGAACAGAAGCAGGCTCTTCTTTGACAACACCCTCTTGAATGAGCACCCAAGACAGGAACTCATCACCTTCGGGGTGGTCGCCGGCTCAATCATTGTCATTGTTGAGCCCACCCAAGATGATGAGGATGAGGTCAACCAAGGCAAGGGGTCTAACAAGAAGGACGGCTACCCAGACGACAGCACCGACAAGAAGGACAAGAAAGACAAGAAAGACAAGAAGGACAAGGAGGACAAGTCCAACAAGAAGAAGGACAAACCGTCTGGCTCTGGTTCAGGTGCTTCATTTTCTGTGGATTTGAATGCCAAGACGACCAGTGCCACGGATGCCATCTTCATCAATTTGAGGGATGCCTCGCCCCCGCTCACTTTCAGGTTCTTCTATGGCAAGGACACTTACTTCTCTGATGTGGCCACTGCCTTTGAGAAGGTTGGCTTGACGGTTGGCTGTGTTGGGAAGGAGGGCGAGTTCAACATTACCTACAGTCAGTCAGTTGTGTCTGCTTGGGAGACGGTCGCCTCTTTGACACCCACTATGGACTTTGAGCTAACCATCAAGATGGTTGGTGGTGTGGAAATCCCCGCCGTGTACCGAAGTCCCACTTGAAGGAAGAACCCATCCAGACTATGACGGAGAAGGCTATGAACAACATCCGCAAGAAGTATGACTTCGGGTTGGAAGACCTCAATGTGGAGATTCCTGCCACGACGAGACATCTTGAGTCCCATCAGTACCAAGGTTGAGGACTACAAGCAGAAGAACCAGCGAGGTGAGGTCATCATCCGTGAGTGTCTGGATTTGCTGACGGACAGTCAGCTCACTGGCATTGTTCGCATTCTCGGCAAGAAGTCGGTTGTGAGTTCGGAGGAGAAAATCGTTGAAGTTGCCTATGTGCTTCTGTCCGACCTGAACAGTTTGGACTTGATGATTGCCGCAGCCAACCGCAGCAAGTATGACATCCTGTCGGTCTTCACGGCCATCTATGTTCGGGAGTCTTCGATGGAGAAGTCTACTGGTTTGTCCTTCACAAATGAGAAGTAGAATGAAAAGTCTTACCACTCTGGCATCCGTCGTGCCACCAACCAAGAGCCTATCCAGCCGCCAGAGGCACAGTCCAGTTGTGAGATGATGTAGGTTTCAAGCGACAAAACGGACAGATGGCAAACTACCATTCAAATTTTGCCAGATGTGAGTTCAGCATTTGCCAGATGTGAGTTCAGCATTTGCCAGATGTGAGTTCAGCATTTGCCAGATGTGAGTTCAGCATTTGCCAGATGTGAGTTCAGCATTTGCCAGATATGAGTTCAGCATTTGCCATCAACCAGTTGTCGCTACACGCACAGATGGGCATAGGATTGACGAACATACCGCTCAGGGTTGTGGGGGAACACAATGAGAAAAAGGCGTGCTTTTGATTAATGACACATTGTTTGATACCATTTCTCGTGAATATCTGTTTTCCACACCATTCTGAGGCTGTGAAGTCATCGTGTAGTTCGCCTACGATGCTGTCATCTACTTGGCGTCGGCGGCTTCCCCCCTAACTACTGTTTTGGGTTGTCCACCTATTTTTTGGGGGGTTGCCCACCTAAATATCGTTTTTCGGGGTGCCACCTAATCTTTTAGGGATCTCCACAATTGAATAGTTCAAGGTTTTTCTTGTGTGCCCTGATTGTCAGAAGGGAGGTCGTCATTGTGGACACTTGGGAGGGTCTGGCGGGGCTTTTTTCACACCCCGAAACCATTGTATAAGGGGAAACTATCGTCAAAATTGAATTTCAATGTTTGAGACCAAACCCAAATTTAAGGGCATCTTTCCATCAACCCCTTCAATTCCACTTTCCACCAACCCAACAAAACAAGGGCAAAATCCACCATTTCACAACTCCCCCCAAAATCAACAATCACATCAACTTCACCGGTTTCAGTTTCAAACTCATCCCCAAACCCACGTTTCAACATTGAACCCAACCCCACAGAATCCAAAGCCACAACCCAAACCCCCACCCAAAAAAAGACTTAAAGAAATATTACCTTACATAGTATAGAGACATGGCAGGGGAATACAGCGCAGGTTCAGTAATTGAATATCTAATATCAAATAATGAAGGTCAAACACAAACAGGGAAGAATAACAAACCATTGAAAAAACTAGTCATCAACAACAAAGAATACTATTACAACAAAGACAAACCTTTATCAACATCACTTCAAAACAAACTCAATCAAGTCAGCAACACACAAGGTGTCAAACGATTTCATCTTCTTAAAAAAAAAACATCAAACACGATGAGAGGCATTAAAACAATCCAGAAATACAGGATTAGAGCAGGAGCAAAAACATCAGAGACATTTTCAGCATTGAAACGATACGCCAACACATACTCAATAACCAACATACCATTCAAGGGATACAAAGGATTTACACCTTTGAAATGGCAAGAAAAGAGACTATCAGAATATCTTGAAAAGGAAAAATCAATGAAAATTATTATTGATGTTGATGTCCTTTTCGACCACCACGAAACAGAGACACCCACAAAATTTACAATGAGAAGCAGGAGATACAACATCCTAAACATTGCTGATTTGAAAAAGGCACTTGACAATATGCCAAAAGACATTGAATTACAAATTGAAAATTCAGAACTCACAAGGTCAGGTGTTAAAATAAACAAAGTTAATAAAATAAGCATCCACTACGACAAATACAACCCGAACAGAGCAGGCAAATAAATGGAACTACCAGAATGGATTTCAAAGAAAATGCGTGTGTCAACATTCAAAATGATGATGAATTATGTTTCAAAGACTGTTTTATGTACATTTTATGAAGTCTTCAAGAAAGACCATCCACAACATATGTGACACTACAAGAAGTTATTGACTACTGAAAGTCTAACTAAATGGGGTGGTGTAAATTTTCCAGCATCCAACGATGACATTGACACAATTGAAACAATTAACAACCAACATTCTATACCAGTTAATGTTTATGTTGAAGATGAAAACCAAACCATCAGAGCAGACAGAATAACGAAGATTGACAGACCGTCTTGTCACACCAATCTACTACGAATTGAACAAAACAACAACGATGCTTCACCAGAGGCTCACAAGCTTTGCGAACACTATGTTTTAATAAAAGTTATGATAGATTCATGGGTAGTCAAGTTAATAAATACAAAGGAAAAACTTTTTGTTGTAGATACTGTCAACACGGTTTTACAACAGAAAAACTTTTACATTCACACTTAATAAAAGGTTGTATGGCAAATGCAATTCAACACACTGGCTTACCAGAAGACGGAACAACAATGAAGTTTGAAAAGCATTTTAAGAAACTGAAAGCACCATTTGTTGTTTATGGTGATTTTGAATGTTTAACAACAGAAACAACAGAAAGGGACTTATCAAAATCATGAACCCAGCAGTTGTACGCTTAACCTTGTTAATGCTTATAGTGGAGAAATGAAACCATTTTATACAGAGGTGAAGATTGTATTGAAGATTTTGTGATACTCTGAAAAATAATAGAGACGATGTTCTGGAACAAATGAAAAATTCAAAAGATATTGATATGACAGATTTAGATGAAATTAAACATTTAGAAGCTAAACAGTGTTTCTTGTGCAATGGCGCTTTCAAAAACAAAGTTGAAGCGAAAAAGAAAGTTGCTGACCATTGCCACTTTACAGGATTATACAGAGGAGCGGCACATGAAATGCAATATAGACTATTACTTTAAAATTATCATATACCTGTATTCTTTCACAATCTTAAAAACCATGAGGCCCACCTAATATTTTATAATCTTGAACAGCTAAATACAAAGAAAGAAAGCATATCAGTAATAGCACAGAACAGTGAGAAGTTTATTACACTTTCATTAAACAGACTTGAATTTAAGGATAGTTTCAGTTTCTTGTCAATATCATTAGATAAGCTTGTTAAATTGACAAAATATGAAGATAATACATTAAGGAACAACTGGCAGGAAAATTTCAATTACAGTTTCAAAGGTACATGCATTAAAAATGAAAAAGGTTTGTTTTTATTGACAGAAAAGGGACTTTATCCTTATGACTATTGTAATGACTTTAAAAATTTAATGATACTGAACTTCCAGAAAAGAAAATGTTTACAGAAAATTAAATTAAGATATAAGGGACGCTGACTATCAAAGAGCAAAACTAATATGGAAGCACTTTAATGCTGAATATCACGATCTATATTTAGAAACCGATGTCTTACTATTAACCGATGTTACTAAAAACAGGAATTGGCCTTGAACTTTTACACGATGAAGAACTTTAGAATATGGTTGAGACGGGCTTGAGAAGCGGTATGTGTCAGGAAAAGCAACTGCTAATAATAGATATATGGGAGATGCTTATGATGAAGCAAAGCCATCATCATACATCAATTATTTAGACGCTAATAATCTTTCTGGTCTGGCAATGTGTAAGAAACTACCATAAAAGAAAATATGATTTGTAAATGATTATTTTCACAGAAGAAGACAATAAATATCATAACGGTCATTACAGCAACAAAGGAAATACTTTAGATGTTGATTTAGAATATCCGAAAGAATGCCACGACAAACATACTGATTCTCCATTAGCACCAGAAATTATGAGTGTGTCAGCAGATATGCTTAGTGATTATCAGAAAGAAACCTACAAAGCATATCATTTTAACGATGCTCCAAAAGATGAGAAAACAATCAAGTTAATACTAAATGTTATGGATAACCAAAACTATGTTTTACATATTGACATTTTAGTATTCTATTTGAAACAAGGACTTAAAATAAAAAAAAATAAAAAGAGTAATAAAGCTTAGACACAAGCAATGGTTGAAACCGTGGATTGACTTTAACACAGAGAAGCGAAACAACGCTACAAGCGACTTTGAGAAAGATGTGTATAAGTTAATGAATAACGCGGTGTATGGAAAAACGATGGAAAATGTGAGAAACCATATTGATGTTGAACTGGTTGATACCCCTGAACGCTACCAAACATGTGTTAATAATCCTAATTTCAAATACAGACATATCATCAATGAAAATCTTATAGGGGTTGAAAAAGCAAAAGGTGTAGTTAAATTGCTTTCCCAGTATATGTACAAATGAGAATTTTAGATTTACGATGACATTATGAAACCGAAATATGGAAATGATGTAAGAATGTTATATACCAATACTGACAGTTTTGTATTATATTAAAACCGAAGATGTATATGATGACTTTAATGACATTAGTAATTATATGGATTTCAGCGGTTATGAACCTAAACACAAATGTTATGATAAAACAAACAAGAAAGTTTTAGGAAAATTCAAGGATGAAGCAGATGGAAAGATTATAACGAACTTTATAGCATTGAAACCTAAATCTTACTGTCTCACATAACGAAGAGAAAGAAGAAAAGAAGAGCAAAGGAATCGGTAAACATAAAGTGAAGAAGGAACTGACATATAATTCTTATGATGACACATTGAAAAACAATAATTGCGACGCTATAGCATTCAACAGCATAAGAAGTAAAGCACATCAAATATACAGCATACAACAAACAAAACAAGCACTATCAGCATATGAAAGCAAAAGATGGTATAAGGATAGTATCAACTCCTTACCTTACGGACATTATGGTATTACAACATAGAGAATTTACAAATATACTTAAAGAAATACTTATATTAAATATTAAGTAAAATGACCTGCTTTCTTGTAGGTGGCAAAAAAAATACAATTTCTATGACAAATGATGAGTTTGATTTGTTGTGGAGTTCTACTGATGGTGAAGTTTCAGACTTCAGCACGGATACAGAGGAAGACATTAAGAAGGCAAAGGAAAAGGAAAGTAGGAAAAAATATAATGATTAAACAAGAAATGTAAAGAAGAAGGATACTTTAAAGAGTATTTTCTAGAAAATGGTAAGTCATTAGAATGTGAAAGATGCGGATGTATGATTAAAAGTAAGTCTAATATGTACAAATTGATAATATTCAACATTGATAATATTATCC